GAGCTGCTGCCCACTCGCAACCCATTCATCACCTGCCTTGACTGGATCAGGGAATATGCCATTATACAGCTCTAGTCGCTCACCACCTGCTCACTGGCCACCTTGACCTGGTCATGGAATGTGCCGTTCCTTGGCTCTGGCCCTGCCCCAGAGCCACTGCCCACCCTCCCTTTACCACATGACACATCCTTATCTTCCTCCCATGGCTGGCTGCCAAGGAAGGCAAGCCAGAAATGAGCCATTACCACTGGGCTTCCCGTCAGTCCACATCTCTCCCCCCCTTGTCGTGAGATGCTTGCAGCTGCCTCCTCTTTTTTCAGTGCACCCAGAGGCGCTTTGTGTGCCAATAGTTGTGGTGGCTGCAGGCTTCTTGCAGCAAAAATAACCAGAACCACTCCTCTTCTTGAATGCACAACCACCCTGTTCCATGTGGTAGCCGTGCATGTGCACACTGTTGCCTGCTGCTGTTGGGCTTGAGCAACTTGCCTGGGAAAGTCTGAACAGAGCGGCACAACAGGCAATGGAGTGTGTGTGCGTGGCTGGTGCATGAAACAAGGCAGCAGTGGCAGCACATTCAAGAAGTGGAGTGGCTTCGGTAATTTTCGCTGCAAGAAGCCTGCAGCTGCAGTATCTTTTGGCACAAAAAGTGCCTCCAGGTGCCCCCCAAAAAAGAAGCTGTGGCTGCAGACTCAACAGTATTTCTTCCACTCAGTCCACATGTCTGGCCAGATCTCAAAACTCCTCTGCGTATTTGACTACCAGGCAGCGAGCTTGCTTGACAGTTTTGATGTGATCCCTGGATTTTTGATTGGCCAGGGGGTTTTCAAATCTCCACCTCAGTGCCATCATGAATCAGTTGAGGTTGCAAAGCTCTTGGGCATCTGTGTTGTGGAGGGTCACCATCCAGTGGGCAGCAGTCCCCTCAAGGCTAGGGTGATGACTTTGACCCTTGCCCTTTTAATTGGAAGGTCCCTCCCATACTCTTTCATGTAGGTAAGCACCTGTGTGAGGAAACACCGCAGCTGTTGCTGGTCCCCATTGAACTTGATGCCCAAGGGGGTGCCTTTCATTCCAGTTGGAGAACTCCCTTCCACCAGCACACAGAGCATTCCCTGGGTCTGTCCGAGGAGGGTTCACAGGGGTGGCTATGGGCTCATCTGTGGCTTCAGTGGTGCCTGCAGACAATCCCGGGACTGGGGAGTCCCCTCTGTCACAAGTATCTGCCTCTTGCCCTCTCTTATCTCCTGTGGCACAGACCCGGGGATCTCAGGTTTTCATGGTTTGGAGGGCTTCCATCATGAGGTGCATTGCTTGCTTCATGTGTTGGTTGGTTTGGACTGGTGTCTCCTCCATCTCGTAGTCATTGTACAGGGTTGCCAGCCCATGTTCCAGCCCTGCTGCCAGCTGCCTTGGGTGCAGGTGACTCCCTTGGTCCTTCCATCCCTGTCCTCTGTCTTCCTAACACTGATCAACCATCTCGACCAACTTTGCAAAGCTTCCCAGGGTGATCCCGTCCTCCATGCACACGCTGGGGTTCTTGTTGGGTTGAGCCTTGGTGGAAGTCTCCCCACCCCCACCCCAGCATTCAACTTCTTCAGGCTTGCTGCTCTGGTTGGACATTGTGTGCACGGTCCCCACAGTAGGGCTGAAGCAGCTCTGGGTTGACCACTTTGCAGTTTCCACCTAATCTAGGGTCCTGCCTCACCAGTCTTTTCAAAGAAAGCAGAACTCTTGAAACAAAAGACATTTCAAATGGAACTTTTATTGGAAGAAAGAGATAGCAGAAAGAGTGTAGGCAGAATCTAAATTTCCTGTACTAGAATGGGTCAGAATTTCCTCATAAGACCCCTTCAAATGCATCACTGGCTGAATGGATCAGCACTCTACGAAATACCTGGTTAGTAGTTTGTAAGGTGCTAGATGCTGCAAGGGAAACACAGAAAAGTCAGGCTGACATTAGAGAATGCCCCAGAGGAGTTTAGAATAGGGAATAAAATGTATCTGTCTACCAAATTCCTGCAGTTAAGACAACCATGCAAGAAGCTAGGTCCCAAGTGCATGGGACCGGTCTCCAGCATCCAGATCATAGATTGGATGATAGTAGAATTAAGGCTGCCAAAGATCCTGTGCATCCACCCAAAGTTTCACTGTAGCCTATTGAAACCCTTTCATAACTCCCCACTGTGATGGCCATGGTGGTCACAGCATGGCCCAGAGGCATGGCCAGCTCAACGTCACTCAAATGGGCTGCGCGGTGTTGGGGAGAGAATCTAGGGGTCTCTAGTGGATGGGGCAGTGGGAAGGAGGATTGTCTCACAGAATGAGGTGTGGTCAAACAACACGGGGTGAGGTGTGGGTGCAGTCACTGCAAGGCAACACAGGGAGTGGGGTGGCTAGTGCAGGAAACCATCAGCCATCACGCACTCACTGCCTTTGTGCATGGGAGCCAATGTTTTCCAGCAGCACCAGCAGCCTGCCAGCCCCTCAGCTGATGCACTCTTTGGCTACAGAGCCCGCTCCACTTAACTGGCCATCCCAGCAGCATGCACGGCAGCGACAGCAGGCAGAGATAGGGGGAGTCATGTCATGTGGACACTTGAAGCATTTACTCCATCCCACTGTCTGTTTTTGCTTATGGCTGGAGAGCAGGTCACCACTGGTCATCTTCTCAGGCCCCATGTAGGTCTTGCCCTTGGCCTGTGCATGGAACATGTTCTACTCATGTACCCGATGCACCTCGGCCCCACTACAGGGTGCTGCTGCCACATTCGACAAATCCACCCAGCCCAAAGAAGCAGCCAGCTAAAAAAGCTGGCTACAGGTGGTAGGCCCAGCAGGCAAAAGACAGCCACTGCGAGCTGGGAAAGCTGATTCCCACTGGTGCTGGCGCCCAGGTCCAGCAGAGATGAGGGGAGAATTTCCCCACTCACAGTGGTTGCCTTTTATCTGCTGGGTCTGGGCATGCTCTACCACCTCTACTCGGCCTCTCTAATTGGCTGCTTTGCCTCCTTCAGGCTGGGTGGGCCTAGTGCTCCGGGTGGCGACGGCAGCAGCCTAATGGACATGTGTAAGCTGTTGGCAGCCTTAGTGGTGGCAGCAACCCACAGCAGTGCCAAGATGCATCAGGTGCATGGGGGGGGGGAATAAGCTCCATGTGCAGGCCAAGATTAAGACCTGCGAGGGGGCCGAGGAGTTTGTGTCCACACTCCCCTCCATTGCCTCCAGACCTGATGAGGAGAGGGCAGTTCTGCTTCTCTCCCCCACAATGCCGGAAGCCTCATGCCACTGCCACTTGCCTGCCGCATCCCCTCTGCAGCCTCTGCAATCACCTATCACCCATCGCACCTGGCTGGCAAAATCCCTATGGTCCTAAAGGTCCCATTACATCTCCTTGCCATCTTCTTCCTTCCTATGTGCTCAGGAAGGGATGAGGGCAGGGGGAGAGATTGGGACACAGGAACAGGCACTGATCTGCAACCTGATGGCTGCCATCCAGGCTAGCCTTAGCTTTGCACCGCTGCCTTGGCCTCACCCTCTGAGCATACGCATAGGAGATGGTGAGCATACAAGGGCTGGCATCCTAGTGAAAGGGAAGCACTCAGAATGCAATCCCCAAGGATGCCAGCCCCCATGTGCTCATCACCTCCTGTGTGCATGCCCAGTGGGCAGGGTCAAGGCAACACTGCAGATCTAAGGCTAGCTGTGATCCAACCCAGATGGTCATCATCAGGTTACAGATAAGTGCTTGGTCAGCCTGGGTCAAGCCAAGGTCCATGGGCCAGTCCTTCACTGTTTCCAGGACAGCCCTACGTGTCAGATCTAAGCACCTCGCGGGCCAGATCCAGACCACAAGCCTTGAGTTTGACAGCCCTGAATGGATGGGGCCATCACAGGTCTATGCGCCTAAGCTCACACACAAATTCCATACCAAATACCCAACTAAGTCAGGAAGACATTAGTCAATGCTTAGGAAAATGTACCACCAATTATGTGCATGTGTTTGTTCTATTTTAGGAATAATCTTCCTATTGGAGGGGCGGTATGTCATGGCTGAGGCTTGGCTCACTTTGCAAACCCTGCTCACAGCCAGACAGGGAGGGAATGGATTGGAATGCAGGGGAGGTACGGGGGAGGGGGGAAATTTGCTAGGCAGAGAGTCCATCACCCAAACAATCTGAACTGAACTGACCATACTGATTGGACAGAATAAAATGACAATGTGAGGGCCAGGAAAAAGGGAAACATTTAAGTATGCTATTTGTGTATGAAACCATTAGAATTGGTTTTGCTACTTTCGTATTGGTGTTGACTCAGTAAATTATACTCTTGGTAATAAAAATGTCCCAGCAGGCTTTATTTGCTGCATGAACCATGTGGCATAGTTGACACATAGACTGATTTGTTTTCCTTTTAGTCACTCCTGGTAACTGGATAGATTAGTCCATGCAGTTTTCTAGGCAAAACCTTTCTGCCTCTTACCTGTGGCTAAGAGTGTGAGTGGCCCAAGGTCGCCCAGTTGACTTCATGCCTCAGGTAGAACTCATGATCTCCCAGTTTCTCTTTAATTACTGGTAGTCCACAATTTATGATTGTAATGGGATTTCTGGAATTTAAAAATGGAATTTATCCTTATATTGAATTATGTATTTATTAATATCAAGACAATAATTATTTAATTTTTAAAAGAGCACTATTTCAATGCAGCAAAACCACAGTGTGTCTATTTAAAAATTAGGAAGAATGATACTCTCTGAATGGAATATAATAACTGGTTACTTTCTTTTCTGTGTTTGTGCCTATTAACAATAACAGTAACCATTTTACATTTTTAAAATTTTTATTTTTTAAAAAAATTAGCGACAGTATAAATCATGCTTCTTGCATGGTCCCTCTGACCAACTGCTGTTATATTCTGATTCAATTGGACAGCAGCTGACTTTGCTGACACAGCCTCCTGCTCTGGTGTGACCTGTCATTAAAATTCTCTTCCTCTTTTGCAGTGAGGAAGGGAAAGCAGTTCACTCCTTCACTGTTCCAGACACAATCACGGAGTGGAACGCAAATGCATTCTGTCTGGCAGACATAGGGTTTGGCCTCTCCCAATTCACCACAATCAGGGTTTTCCAGCCCTTCTTCGTTGATCTGACTCTGCCATATTCTGTGATTCGTGGAGAGACTTTCCAGATAAAGGTCACGGTCTTTAATTTCCTCAAGGACTGTATCCAGGTGAGACCCCACTTAGAACAAGTCAGAAATCTTATAAAGTTTAGGAGAAGGAAATTCACAATGAGTTTTAGACATGGAGACAAAGACTGCAAACAGAAGGATTGCATTCCTTTCTGTGCTTGACAGAGGATAAATTCCTAATGGCCCCAATTTCTTCTTCCCCCATTGTGGGGTGAGATGGGGATAAAGTTGATGAAATACATTCAGAGGTTTGCAAAGCAAAATTCTCCAGGGGGTTCCAGCCAATCTGAGCTGGCAAAAAGTAGGTTTTTTTTGGTCTGGGTCATAACTCCATATTAGCCCATGGTGCATAGCTCCTATTGTGTCTCTTCCTTCATATCTCATTCAGGTGAGAACAACCCTGCTAGAGTCTGAGGAAGTGGAGGTGAAACCCTGTCCTGACTGCCTATTCCCCACCTGCCTGTGCGCTGAGGAAGCCAAGGTCTTCTCATGGAATCTGACAGCTACACAGCTGGGTAAGACTGAGGTTAAGGTGTAGTCAGGGGGGAGTCAGTGTGCTGAATTGGCATCCTCTTAGTTATTCAGATGCCTGTCAATCAAGAACACTCAGCAGACGTTATACTGAAATGGTGTAGGTGGGGCAAGTGGGTGGGGTCGGTTTTCTAACTTTCTAACTAACATATTGTCACTTTGAAACATCTGTTAATATTGAAGTGGAACCAGGACTGCAGACAGATTCATGAAATAGCCCATATCTCTTCTGTCTGTTCAAGAGTCATTCAGTCCCTCTGCACTCAGATCTGCATCCAACTCCATTGGTGGAGAGATGCAGAGGTGGCCTTGGCATTGCATTTGAAGCATCTATTAATGGTGGTGGTGAGTTGTAGAATGGAGTTTGGGTCAAAAGGAAAGAGCAGCCATTTTTGTTCACACTAAACTGATGACTGAAAGTCTGGGAATGGCTGTTCTCTATCACTTTTGCCTTCTTGTAGGGCATGTGAACATCTCAGTGAGAAGTGAGGCTGAGGAGACCCAAGCATTGTGTGGCAACAAGATATCTGTCACTCCCACGCGTGGCCGGTCAGACACAGTTATCAAATCTTTACTTGTCAAGGTCAGTGAAGACATCAGGCAAACTCTAGTTCAAGCACAAACCAATATCCGAAAAGGGGGGGGGGAATGAAAGATGAGGACCATAAGTGAAGTTCCAATTAAACTGATTTGTTACTAAACATGCCTATGCACAGGAATCAACTTAATGAATGCTTAGCATTATCTGTAGGCTACATAAGAGTCAACGGAATTAAAGAAAGGTTGGACTTAAATCGGTCTGTGGCTATGTAAAGACTCTTGGCTAGGAGGGGCAATAAATTGGGACTGTTGTGGAGGGCCAAAGCAACGGCTCCAGGCTACGCTCCACCCATTCACCCACAAGTTTCCACTTCGACTGAGGTGATGGTGGGTGGCCAAGCCCAGGTCCCCTCATATGTTGATCACCACCACCTCCTCAGACTGCTCCAGGCATGGGTGAGCACTGTGCAGATGCAGAAGAGTATTTTCTCTTCTCATCCTCCCATGGCCACTAGCTGACTGATGGAGCACACAGAGATTCCACAGAACTGAACCAAATTGGACTTTTTCTCCCACTCCCTGAGATACATTTATTTACAGATGTGGCCTGAGTCTGTAAATTGCCCAGGCTTGCTCTAGGCTGATTCCTCTTGATGCCACCCCCGGATTCTTCTTCTCTTTCTCCTAGAGAACCCAGAAGTGGTTTTCTAGAAGGGGTTGATACTGGGATTATTTTTTTCAGTGTCAATAATTTCTGGATCTTGCAGTGCCTTGTGTTTTCAAGGCTACATCCAGGTGGATGGCTGCTCTTCTTTGCCCAGACAAAGGCTTGGCATTAAGAAAGTCCTCCAAAACATACCATCAAATAACCCATAATTCATTTTTCTTTCCACAGCCAGAAGGTGTCCTTGAAGAAAAAGCCCAGAACACTTTCCTATGCTCTTCAGGTATGGCTGAGCTGCATCTCTTGTATAGCATTGCTGTATTCGTGGTGAGTCCACAGAGAAGATCAGCCTGTTCTTCTGGTTGCTTCTTCTCTGAGAAATAGCTCTGCTATAAAACAGCAATGCAGGGATGTGTCTGCCTGCTATACGACCGGTGGAAGGAACTACAGGTAATAAGGCAGTGTGTTCTTTAGCTGGGAGAACTTCAGAAATGTGTGTTCTTCCTGCTCCAGTCTTTATGCAAGGCAGCCATAGGTGCTACCTCTCATGCTCAGGTCCCCATTGGAAAATGAGATGATCCTGTCCTGCACCACCACTTGTTTGATAGAAAAGGAATATGCTGATGCTTGCAAAAATGTTGTATGCAATGAAAGTTATCACAACTACATTTTTGTAGCTATTCTAATTCTACATTTATATTCACACATGCATTCCCTTCAGGAGAACCAGCATCTGAAGAAGTTTCCCTAACAATGCCGGAAGCAGTTGTGCAGGATTCTGAGCGGGCCATGGTATCTGTCATTGGTGAGAAAGATGTCTTCTTTAGCAAAGAGAGAACAGACATGGCAGGCTTAGTGCTTGAGCGTCGCATGTTTTGTAAAATATTTGAAAGGAGGGGCATTGAAAACGGAATACTGCATGGTGCACTGTAGTCTCCTATGCAGGGGAAAGCTGGGCAGCCTTGGCTGCCAGACAAAGACAGGTTTTCAAAGCATCCTAGTCATGCATCTGCCATGGGCTGGTCTACTGAGGAACATCATCTCAGCAGCTGCTCCATGATGTCATGTATTGGGCCCATGCTTGTCTGGCCAATTGTTTTTCAATTCAGCTTGCAAGAACTTTCCTGAATGTAATGTTCAAGTTTTTAGGAAGCAGGAAAAGGTTTTCTGGACTTGAAGGAAGGCATATTTTTCATATTTGCTCCCTTTATTTGATTAACATTCAGGAGATATTATGGGAGCTGCACTAGAAAATATAGACCATCTGCTTCAGATGCCCTTTGGCTGTGGTGAGCAGAACATGGTCAAGTTTGTTCCCAACATCGTTGTACTCCAGTACTTGGAAGAAACCAATCAGGTGACTCCGGAGTTAAAGAATCGGGCAATAGAGCACATGAAGAGTGGTGAGTTGGGCCTTTTTCTACCTGTCTCTTATTTGGAAGGTCTTCTGGTCAGGCTTTGCAAGTACCAGGGACCAGATTCATCCCATGACCATCCTTCCTTATACCAGTCATTTTTAGTCAATGTTAAATGCTTTCTGCATTTTTATATCTGGGAAGTTATTTTTATGTCTGAAGATGACGCTTGTGGGGTGAAATTGAAGTGTGCCAGCAGAGTCAAATAGGATCTAGACAATTTCCAATTTTCCAATTTATTGGCATTTGTATGCAGCCTACTCCCAGTGGGACTCTGGGCGGCTTACAGGCAAAAACAACATATATTAAAAAATTAAGATAATACAAATATTAAAAATCAACAACATGCATACAGTTGGAGGGGGCCGGAATACTAATCACCAGCCCCAAGCCTGCCGGAACAGCCAGGTCTTCGTGGCTTTACGGAAGGCTGGAAGAGTGGTGAGGGTCCGGATCTCTATGGGGAGATCGTTCCATAGACAGACCTGAGAGCATTATTTTCTCCTTATGCTGCAGGATATCAGCGGCAGCTACTTTATAAACACAATGATGGTTCCTATAGTGCCTTTGGAAAACGTGACGAAGAGGGAAATACTTGGTAAGGGCCTTGAGCAGAACAGCCGTTTTTCTCAGAATGTTCCCTCTAATGAATTCACCAACTGACAGGAGGAAATGCTTTTGGAGTTGCCAGCAGGGCTATTATGCCTCCCTCCAACAGAAGCAGCAGGATCTCCCCCCCCCCATCCCAATATTATTAGGAAGACACTTTCTGGACCTGCCCATTCATCCATCTACTTTTCTCTGGCTATTTCTCATAACTCTCAGCTCACCAGATGGCAGCTGCAAGATCATGAGCAGGTGACTATGGAGTAGCTGAAGGTGTTGCTACTTCTTCAGTATTTTCTTTCTTTTCTGCTGCTCAGGCTGACTGCATTTGTGGCCAAGGCTTTTGGCCAGGCAAAGCGCTACATCTATGTGGATGAAAAGCATATTCAGAATGCCGTGGACTGGTTAAGGAAACACCAACTTCCCAGCGGCTGCTTTGAAAGTGTGGGGAGGCTCTTTAACAATGCCCTGAAGGTAGGAACCATGTGACCTGAGGCAGTAGCGTAGGAGATACCCACGTAATAAAGGAAACTGGAGAGTCATGTGAATCAAGGTATCAGGAAAAGGGACCTTGTGACTTCACTTGCTGGCTTCTTCTCTATGTCCGCAGGGTGGTGTGGATGATGACCTCTCTCTGACAGCCTATGTCACTGCTTCTTTGCTGGAGCTGCACCTAAAGAATAATGTAAGTCTTTGGAGACTTTAATTTTCATGCAGATCTGTGGAACATCCCTGGAGCCTTCCTGAGACTTTTTGGGTGGTCCCAATGCACCATCTGCCTCCAGAAATTAGTAATCCAGGTTTTTCATGCAGGGAAAGAGGGATTGCGAGAAATTATTTATGAACTTTTGGAGGTGGGAAAACAGAAAGCAGCCAACCTCAGGACTGGGGTAAGAAGAACCCAAGTCCTGAATGGACAGGTTTACTGTCCAATCATAGTAGCTCTATGTAGATCTCAGAGAATAGGATATTCTTATAGGCTATCCTCCTGCTTGAAAACTTACTGGAAATTTTGGTATTACAGGGGAGTCTGGTAGATGATGCCTTACTCTGCTTGAAGAGGAACCTGAACTTTATGAACAACACCTACTCCAAGGCTTTGCTGGCTTATGTCTTCACATTGGCTGGGGACACAGAGATCCGGCAACAGCTCCTCGGAGACTTAGAGGAGGAGGTTCTCAAAACAGGTAGGAGGTAGTGTTCTGCTTAAAAGTGCTCTGTTTGATCACCTACTCTTCTATGAAGAGGGTGAGTTCTAAGACTCGCCTTACTAAATTATTTTAGGTGAGCTCATTTCACTTTTATGAACTATGCATCATGTTTTTTAAAGAATGGCTTCAGATTTTTCTATTGCAATTATGGCGAACCTATGGCACACACGCCAGATGTGGCATGCAGAACCCTCCCTGTAGGCATGCATGCCATGGCCCCAGCATAGCTCCAATCGCATTTCTCCATCGCATTTCACTCAATCAATTCCCCCCCCCCCCAAAAAAGATCTCGTGAAGTTGCAATTGATTGAGTGAACTTTTTCACTCATGCACTTCACAATGGG